TCACCCAGCGCGGCCCCGTCGCCTGCTCAATCTGCAGCCCCCGTCAAGAACCCCATTGAGCTGCCCGCGCCGCGCCCCTTCTCCACGGAGGGCGCCCCCGCCAAGCCCGAGGACAAGGCGGGGCAGGGGCCGGGGTGGGTGGGGCGCACGCTCAACCTGGAGGATTACGTCATCAACTACGCCTCCGGTGGGTGGGGGTGGGGGTGGTGGGGCGGTAGGGTGGTGGTGGGTGGTGGGCGTTGGAGGCGCAACGACAGGATGGGGGCAGACGACAGCAGGCCAGGCCAGGCGCGGCGGGCTCACCTCCTGCCTGCTCCCTCGTGGGCCCACGTGCAGATGACGAGAGCTGAGCGTCCGCCTGCGCTGGTGGCCGGGCTGCCTCCTGCCGCCACGCTCCTGCGCGTCTTAACGCGGAGCCCTCTCGGGCGTTCCATCTCCACAGTTAATTCGGACCGTTCTTCCCCAGCACACTAGCTTATCACGATGGCAAGCATTGTAATGCATCACAGATGGCGCCTCATGCCGGCTTGCTGGGCTTCAAATCAACGCCGCTGCCACCTGGCTCAATCGGGGTGGCGGGCAGCGGCCTGCCAAGGCCACGAAAGCCTCCCCTGCGGCATTCCACGGATGTAGCTTCGTCCACAAATCTTGTGAACAGAGAGGCAGCGTGGCCAAGACTCCCAGAGGTGACTGGGACCATGGAGGCATTCGTCGCCGCGTGCCAGGCGCCTGGGGTGCACCAACAAGACGCACTTCGCACCCTCTTATCCATCCACAAGGACACTGACATCCTGCAGCGGCATGGGGTGCATGTGCCCGATGAGTGGGCGGCGGCGGCAGATGGCGCCGCTGCCGCCACCTGCAACGGCGGCGCAGACAGCCCCCTCGTGCTGCTGCACAAGCTGCCGCTGACCACGTACAGCGACTACGAAGAGCTTGTGGAGGCGGCGGTGCAGGCAGGCCGCACGTACGACGCCTCTGACACCGCCAGCCAGCAGCGCTGGGACGCTGCGGTGGCCCGCTTGAGCGGCCTGCCGCTGTACGCCTTCAAGTGCTCCAGCGGCACCACGGGCGGCCAGAAGCGCATGCCCGCCAGCATGCGGGAGGCACAGTCCAACGTGAACCAGTTTGGGCTGTTCTCCTCGGTACGCAGCCCTCCCGCGCTTCCCATGTCGCTTGCCCCCGCCAGCGACGCCAAGGCCCACCCTCCTGTGTGTCGCTGCTTGCAGCACATCAATGCCGCTTTCCCAGGCGCCGCCGCCGGCAAGGAGCTGCGCTTCCCCTTTGCCGGAGACGTGGAGGTGGGATGCACGCTGCGTGCCTTTTGGCGACCCTTGTGGCTGCGCTGTGCCGCTGCTGCCCCACCTTGCTGCCACCCGCCCGCCCACCCACACCTGTTGCCAAGCTCCCCGCCACCCCCTGCTGCAGGCGCTGCCCAGCGGCGTGCAGATTGGCGTGGGCAGCAGCATCACATACCGCCGCATCGTGGCCAGCGACAAGCGGTGAGCGGACGGGCCCCGGCGGCAGCCACTGCATGCGGGGGGGAAATCGTGCATGCCCAGCCGGTACTGCCGCGCTGCTTGGCCCCTGCTGCTCCACAGCGCGTTGCGCCCTGGCGGGCGCTACCCCACCCTTGCTGCTGCTGCTGCTGCTGCTGCTGTCGTCCAGCGACGCCTCCCTCCGCGCCTGCCTGCCTGCCTGCCCGCCCGCAGCGCTTTGTGGACAGCTGGGTGAGTCCCAAGGAGGTCATCGTGGCGGGGTCGGTCCAGACCTGCTACTACCTGCACTGGCTCTGCGCCCTGCGGCGGCGCCACGACATCACCGCCCTGACCGACATCTTTGCATCCAGCCTGCTGCTGGCGGCCAACCTGCTGGTGGAGCACTGGCGCCGGCTGATGGCTGACCTGGAGGCCGGCCGCTGCTTCTCCTGGGTGGCACGCTCATCCAAAGGGCTGGCGCCGGCCGCGGCGGGCGGCCTGGCGCCGCCCCCCGAGGGTGTGGCGGCAGCGGTGGATGCCTCCATGGAGCCCAGCCCTGAGCTGGCACAGGAGCTGCAGCAGGTAGGCTGGCGGGGGCAGAGCAGCTCGGGAGAGTGGCCGCCGCTGTCGGCGGCTTGGTGGGAGGGCAGCGCATCACTGTGCCGCGGTGCCGTGGTGCACGGTGCCACGGCCGCTCCCTGATGCCTGCCCTTGCTGACGCCTGCTCCCTGCCCCCCCCCTCCCACACACACACCGTGCCATCAGGTGTTTGATGGGGGGCGCCAGGGCCTGCTGGAACGCCTCTTCCCCGGCGCCTGCTACGTGGCCTGCGTGCTGACCGGTGGGTGGGTGGGTGGGGCATGCCCGGTGCTTGCCAGGCAGCCCATGCTGACCTGGCAGCACTGCAGTGCGCTGCGGTGCAGCCCGCTCGGCTCCCCGCGCCAACCCTGCCCCATACCAACAAAACGGGCCTCCTCCTCCTCCTCTCCCCTGCCTCCCCGCTGCAGGCTCCATGAGCAAGTACGTGCCTCACCTGCGCGAGCTGCTGCCCATCATCCCCATTGTGTCAGCGTCCTACGGCGCCACAGAGGGCCAGTTTGGTATCCAGAGCGACCTGGTGGAGTATGCTGCGGCGGCAGCTGCTGCGCCTGCTGCTGCTGCTGCTGCTGGGAGCGCCAGGCCTGCGGCTGATGGGAGCGCCTCCGCCGTGCCTGGCGGGGACGGCAGCCCAGCGGCAGACACGGCGGCGGCGGCCGTGCCCAGCTGCGCCGGCATCAGCTATGCCGACTTCCCGCGGGAGCCTGATGGGCACACCTCCTACATCCTGGTCCCCACATGCGGTGCGCGGCGCCAGCGCGCAGCCACCCGGCTTGGCCAGTCGCCGCCCCCTTGCCTGCTCCTGTGTCGATCTGGCCCTCCACTGGCCCCCTGCTGGCTGCACCACTACCACCACCACAACAACAACAACCACTACCAGTTCCCCCCACATGCTCAGATTGCTACATGGAGTTCATCCTCGTGGAGCACGCCGACGACCCGCAGCCGCCCACCGTCAGGCGGGGAGGGAGGGAGGGACGGGGGGCGCGTGGCGGGCCCGCTCGCTGCCGCCCTGCTCCTGCTGTGACAAGCAACTTGCCCCGTGGTGTTGCCGAGGTGTCCCGCTCCCTGTCCTGTGCCTGCAGCCTGGAAGGGCTGGAGGTGGGGCGCCGCTACGAGATCGCCGTCAGCAACCTGCTGGGCCTGTTCCGCTTCCGGGTCGGCGACGTGCTGCTCTGTGTGGGCCACTTCCACAAGGCTCCCAAGGCAGGCAGCTGTGTGGCGGGAAGCCCCGGCCTGCCCGTCCTGCTGCCCTCCCTTGCCCTATGTGCTGCACAGCGCGCGGCTGGCAGTCCCTGCAGAAAGGTGTAACCCAGGCTGGGGCGCCTGCTGCTGCTGCAGGTGGTGGTGGAGGGCCGTGTGGGCCAGGCGCTGAACCTGGCGGGCGAGAAGACGCCCGAGGCATCCCTGGTGGCGGCAGTGGCGGCGGCCGCGCAGGCGCTGCTGCCGGGCGGCGCTGCAGGGCTCCAGGAGTGGGCCGCACGCGAGGTGCTGCACCCCCGTGGCGGCGCAGAGGGCGGTGCCGGGCACTATCTCGTGTACTGGGAGCTGACGGGTGCGCCCGCAGCAGCCAGCAGCCGAGCCAGCACCGGCGGCGCAGGCGGCAGCCCCGGCGCGCCCATCGCTGCTGTGCTGGCGGGCTGGGCTGAGCGGCTGGAGCAGGAGGTGGGGCGCTGCGCGCCGCAGTACCGCGCCATCCGCCAGGAGGGCAGTGTGGCGGGGCTGCAGCTGAAGCTGGTGGCGCCGGGCGCCTTTGGCGAGATCAGGTGCGCGGTGTGTGTGGGGTAGCGGTGAGCAGGGGGGGGTAGCGCTGGCGCCCGTTGCCTGCCGCAAACGCCGCCCGCCAGTCACTCTAGCTGACAGGAGGTCAGCGATGCTGTTGGCCCCTGCTGCTTGGTGCAGGCAGCTGGCGTTCAGCAACGGCGCCACCGCCGCGCAGTACAAGCCTCCTACGGTCGTCAGCAAGCCGGCGCAGTGGGAGGTGCTGGAGAGGCACGTGGTGGCGGCGGCTTGTGCACGCCAGCCGGCCTAGACACATTCAGTAACATTCAGTAACATTCAGTAACATTCTGACTGTCTCCTGCCAGTTGAGAGTATGTCTGCTACTGCTTGTCGTTGTGAAAGAAAGTGAGCAAAGCGCCAGGCGGCGCTCGCTGCGCTGGCGGCGGTACTGCGACCTGGCGAGCGATGGCGGGGATCGGTTACCAGGTTCGCAGGTAACAACACGATCGACAATGGCGACTCAGTGTGCTCTGGGGCGCCTAGCCGGTGCCAGGGCCCCAGCTCGGCCCCAGCGTCGGCCTGCACCCGCTTCCTTCGCCCCTCGGTACGCGACGCAGCGCAGACGCATCGAGGCGCGAGCTGGGAGCAATGGGCTACTGGGTCTCCTCCAGCGCTGGGGCGGCGGCGGCGGCGGCTCCACTAGCAGCCAAGGCGCCAGCCCGGCGCGGCAGCAGCTGCTGAGCGAGCTGCGCAGCGCCCAGCCGGACAAGAAGCTGATCTGGGAGGCCTGCGTCGCCCTCATGGAGGAGCGTGTCCCGTTTGTGGAGTCTCAGCTGGGCGGCGGGCCCTTCCACGCCGTCTTCACCCGCGGCCCGCTGCTCTGGCAGCTGTGGACATCGCAGGCAAAGCAGGGCAGCCGCGTCACAACAGCCAGCGAGAACCAGGTGCGTCTGGAGCGCTTGTGGCGTGCGGCCAAGTGCCGCAACTGTCGGGCATTCTCGCTCTCTCACGCGCGCAGCTCCCGGCCCGCCTTCCCCACCGGACCAGCCTCTGCCCGCGCCCTGTCCTCCTCTGCAGGCCTGGCAGGACTTTGACCCTGCCGCAAAGACCGTGGTCAACTTTGGTGAGCTGCTGGGCAGCCAAGTGACTGTAACCGCCAGCGGAAGCTACCGCGCCGCCGACGAGGAGCAGCAGCGGTGCCCCAAGCTGGTGCTGGCCAGCATCCAGGGCGGAGCGCTGAACGCTTGGGGCCTGCAGATCCCGCTGCCGATCAGGTGAGCTGGCATGTGCCGGGTGGGGGGCTCCCCAGAAACTGAAGGGGCTCTCCAGAAACTGGAGCATCGCCGCTGCGCCAGCGCCGGGAGGGACAGCTGGTTGCTGGCACCAGCACCCCAGCCACAACCCCTTGCTTGCGTGCAGGGGTGAGGGGCAGGTGGAGGTCGCCTACTTGGATCCTGACATGAGGGTGTTCCGGGCCACCAACGGCAGCATCTCGGTGCAAGTGCGGCAGGACAGGCTGCCTGAGCTGCTGGGCTGGGGGAGCTAGGAGAGTGGGGGCGCAGCCACTGTACATGATTCCCTGCGACGCGCCCCCAAGGCGATTACACTGCGCTGCTCTTGCACAATGGACTTGCTTGCAAAGCAGAAGGCAGGACCAACAAGAAGTCAGCACTCAAAAGAGTAGATATCAGAATCAGAGAAGGGCATTGAGAGGCCTGTGTATGCGCAGGGAGATTCCAGGGTGTGTCAGTGCGGGGAGCTGGGGCAGGTTTGAAGGAATTAAAGAGGGGAGTATACAAACAAATGGTGCACGGTCGCACAACGAAAAGAAGTCACGAAAGGGGGCTAAGGTGCAAACTAACTGTGTGGGGGGGAGGGGGGCGGGTTCCGACTGTATGGCAAAGCATGCGTTGGGCATGCATGCAGGGCGCACATCATGTGCTCATGGGGCAATGCCGTGCTCAGGCCTGCCGCGGCGCTATGGCAGCAGCAGGCGGCCGCAGCAGGCGGGGGAGGGCGGGGCGCGCGCAGCTGCCTTGTGTTGCCCTGACTAAGCGCACCCAAACATGCGCCGCAGCAGGTACTTGCCCACATCCTGCACCATCTTGTGCGGCTTGGGCGCCACAAACAGCGCCCGCGCGGTGGCATACACCTGGCCCTCCGGCCCGTCGCTGACCGTGGCCTTCATCCACAGCTTCCTGCCCTCCATGCTCTCCACCTCTGTCGTGCACAGCACGGTGCGCCCCGCCGATATCTTGGCCTTGTAGCTCACCTCCAGTTGCACCTGAAGGCACACGACGCAGGGTGGTGGCATGGGGTGTGAGTGCATGGATGAGCAGCGGCGCAACACCACAGCGCAAAAAAAAGCTCAAAATAGCTTTAAAAAAACTCACCGTGTAGGCGGGACCCCAGAAGTTGAGCGCGCGCGCCTGCTTGAGCGCGAACAGCAACCCGCCGAAGCTCTCATCGATGATGGCTGCAGTCAGTCCACCGTGCACTATCCGGGGGAAGCCGCAGACCTCTCTCCCCAGGCTGACGATGGCGTAGAACTTACGCTGCTGGGGGCTGTAGTAGCCCGTGAGGTCGTCCACGATGCCCTTGGACACAAACGCGCTGAACATGTGGTCGTCCTGTGTGGGGGCAAGGGCGGGGCAAGGGCGGGGCAGGGTAGGTAGGGTAGGGTAGATGAGAGGGGGCAACGGGATTGGTGGGCGCGCCGCGGCATCAGAACGTCGCCCGCCCGATGCACGGTGGCGGGCAGGCTGCCGCTCCCACCTCCAGGATGGCGTGGTCTGCCTCCATTAGCATGGCCGCATCAAACGCCTTGACCACCCCCGGCTGCTGCGCTATGTCTGCGATCCAGTGCTCCGCCGCCTTGAGGCTGCGCTCGGCGCGGGCGTGCCCCGCCTCCAGCTCAGCCTGCTGCGTGGTGGCCAGCGCGTGCGACACGCCGCCCAGCAACGCCGCCGCAGCTGACGGCAGCAGCGCCCACTTGGCCCAGCCAAACCTGCTGCCACCGCCGCTGCCCGCGGCGGTGCTGGCTTGGGATGCAGGCGGCGCACGAGGTCCGCCGCTGCTGCTGCTGCCGCCGCCGGTGGCGGCGCGAGCGGAGCGCTGCTGCCCTCGCTGCCCGCGCGGCTGCTGGCGCCGCGCTGCGTTGTTGAAGAGATGGCCACCCAGCCCACTCCGGGCGAGGCCCGCGCCTCTGTTCATGGGTGGCGGCTGGAACTCGGCGGCGCGGCGCGCAATCCGTGGGAGACTTGGTTGGAGGCGGGCGGGAGAAAAATGGGTGCAGAGAATCCCTGAGACGCGGACAGAATGGCCATCGGCACGCCTTTGGAGAGAGGTACCTAACCCCCGCTGTCGGCGGCGGGTGCGTCACGACGCGTCGACCCCAACCTGCCTGGGCTGTCAATAGCCGGGGAGCAGCCGCTCACGAGTGATCACGTTTTGCGTGCCAGATGCGACTGCATTTCCTTCTGGGGGATTGTGCAGCGAGCAACGGACGTGCAGCCTGGGGGCAGCCCCTCGCCGTAACCGCCGCTGGGTTGCCGCGGACATGGCCTCCACCCTGTGCGCAACACAGAGTGACAAAAGCATCCAGGGTTTGCATCTGCTGATGCGATGGTCTGATTCTGGCATGGCCAAGCGAATGCAGTCTCACTGCTTGCTGCAGCGAGCGGCGGCATACGCCAGCCTGGCAAACGTAACCTTCTGTCGGCGCCTTGCACCAGGAGCGCCAAAGGGCGCACTGTAGGCTTCGTACCAGCTGTAGGCTTCTTGCCACCTCCAGGTGCTGCACCTGGCAGTTTCGGGCCGGGAGATGGGTGGAGCTTCAGGGAACCGCCGGCGGGTGGCGGCAGGCAGAGCCCTTGAGGCGCCCCCTCCATCCCACATGCCTCCTCCTGCTGCCTGGCGGTCCACTTGTGTCTTCAGCCGATCAACATGGGTGCCTGCTAGCTCTGCATAAGATATCTGAGGCGAGATATGAAAGCTGAGCTGGCACTGATGCGGCAACCCAAATGCACGCCCTTTCGCCCGCACTTGATGCAATGACCTTGTGCCTGCAAGGCAGGTCAGGGTCCTTCAAACCAGCACACCCAGCCCCTTGAACACAAGGGACGCGCACCCAGGGGCCGGCGTAGCCTGCCAGGTCACTGCAGCCACTCCACAAGCCAGCCAGCCAAGGGTCTGAGCCCCGCTCGCACCTGGCGACACCAGACACTTGTGCCCTCGCTACCAGCATGACCAACCCTGCCGTCATCGGCGAGGGCCCAAACACCGCCACGGGCTGGGCGGTCTCCAGAGCAGGTGTGTTGGGCCGCCGCGTGGCCATGGCCATGTCGCCGCCGTGCCTGCCAGCTCACCGCTTGTGTGCACTCCTTCACTGTCCTCCACCCCGTCCTGCCCCCTCGCCCCTGGTCCCACCCGCAGTGCTCTACTTTGGAGTGGCATCAGTGGTTGTGGTGTGGGCCTCTGCCTTCACCTGCCTCATGTGCCACTGCTTGCGGCGACGGCGTCGCGGACAAGCTGCCGCCGATGCCAGCCGCGCCCAGCTACCTCCCGGCATGGCAGGTAGCATGGAAGGTGGGAGGCTGCTGCCGCCGCTGCTGCTGCACGCTGTCCGCTGGTTGGCATGCCTGGCTGCGCGGATGCTGCGCTGGCGGCCGGCATGCCTCGGCTTGGCAGTGCCGGTGCACCCCACCCTGCGTCTCGCTGTGCCCCCTCACGATGACTGTGCACCCGTGCCATGCTCACCCGCTGCAGGCGCCCCCCGTTACTTCCCCACCGCCCTGCCAGTGGTCATCGTGAACCCAGACAACGTCAGCCTGGAGCTGGGGATCAAGGAGGAGGCGTCCTGCGGCTTGTACAAGGGCGCCGCTGGCGACAGCGGCAACGCGGGCGGGACGGGCGACGGCAAGGCGGCCCCCAGCCCGCCCCCGGGCGCTGCTGCCGCTGGCGGCCGCCCCGCGCTGCAGCGTGATTCCAGGGGCTTCATGGTGTGGCCGCAGCCGCAGCAGCACTGGCAGCAGCAGCCATGGGAGCAGCCGCAGTGGCAGCAGGAGCAGCGTGGCATCCAGCTGGGCCAGGCCAAGGTTTGGGTGCCTGGCGACAAAGCGGAGGCGGCGGAGCAGGCGGGCCCTCGCACAGCCAGCGTCAGCGGCGACGACGGCGCCAGCTGCAGCGGCAGCAGCATGGCCAGCACCAGCAGCGACGCCCGCGGCGCCTGGGGCTACCAGGCGCCCAGCTGAGTCCTAGCGCTGCGGCAGGCCCGCCCCGCCTCGCTGCGCTGGATCCAGCCAGAGCCCATCCCATGGCACGACCGCCGCATCCTTGGATCAGCAACACGATTTTCAGTTTCAGCTTCCAGCCCGACACAGCCGCCCCTGCTGTGTCGTGATACATATGCCGTGCACGCCCTGCTCTGCCCTCTCTGGCGCGCCGTACGATCGTCCTATGCCCTCCCCCACACTGCTCTCAATGAACGTCACCCCTTGCTGAACGAACGCCATCCTTGGCTGTGCAGTCAACCGCGTGCGCATGCTCTGTATTTCCCCAGTGACAAGTTCCCCAGTGAAAAGAAGCCTCACTCGCAGGCTCCCCAAATTCCTTCTAGCCTGTCGCACGTGCTTCCTGCCTTTCTTCCACTTGATCCACCCAACCCGGCCTTCTCTGTAGACTAGCGAGCTGTCCCAACCTGATGTGTAATCCCAAGCTGGCTTGCTGCAAGGGGGCACGCGGGTGCTTATCCGCATCTTTGCCCGAGAGCAGGGAACGGTGTGAGATGGGTGCCTTGCGTCTCTTCCAGGCCTGCTGTACGCCGTCCCTTTGCAAAAGTGTGCATTTTCAGTGGGGGGATGTACGACAGAGGAATGCAGTCAAAAGAAGACTGAGAAACATGTTGGTTACGAGTAGCTGCGCTGCTGCGTCACGCCGTGCTGGTGCCGCCGCCCACGCCACGCTGCCCCGGCGCGCCGCTAAGCCTGGCGCCCGCCGGCAGTGCGTCGGAGGTGGGCTCAAAGGCATACGCCTCTGCCGCCTCCTCCAGCATCTCCAGCATCCTGGCATCCTCCGGCACGCCCGGCAGCCCCAGCGCCTTGGCGGCCTTGGCTGCCAGCCTGTCCAGCAGCGCCCCCGCCTCCTGCACCACCCAGGCCGTGAAGTCGACCAGCTCCCGCGCCGCCTCCTCCTCCCTGCCCGCGCCCAGCGCCTCCACGTACCGCGCCTCAAAGGCGGGGCACAGCTCCTGCTCCACCCGCTCCTCAAACCGCACAATGGCGGCGGCCGCGGGCGGCGCCAGCACGCCCCAGTCCTGCAGCAGCGCAGCCAGCCGGCCGGCCAGCCAGTCGCTTGTACCCCGCACTTCGTTGCATGCCCACAGGCCCATGGCCTATGGCTGGTAAGGCAGGCGTGAGGCAACCACCTGGCATCATCGGCTGCGCAGCCACGCGCTCCACGCCCCAAGCCCACCCACCCAGCCCGGCCCCGCGCCCCACCTGGAACACCAGCGCCTGCAGGCGGCGGGCGCGCCAGAACAGCGACACCGCATCGGGCTGCCCCGCCCGCGCCACCGTGAGCTCCCGAGGCACCGCATCCCCGGGCAGGCCCTTGTACAGCGGGATGAAGGGGGCGAGCTTGGGGGTGGCAAAGGTGACGTGAGTGATGATGGAGAGGGCGTCGGGGAGGCCCGCCGCCGCGGGACGCACTTGGGTGACTGCGGGGCGGGGGTGAGGTACAAGGAGGGCACGAGGAGGGCATGTTGAGGGCCAGCGGCAGATCGATAGGCTGGGGGCCTTGAGGCCGTGCGTGCCGGCCCGGCCCAACCAGGGAAGCGGTACCGCAAGCTTCCCGGCAGCCGCCTCACCGTGGCCCATGCTGGTGCGCAGCAGCGCGATGGGGCGCCACGGCTCGTCCGGGTTGCCGTGCAGGTACGGGTCGTGGGCGGAGCCGTCCCAGTGGTTGCGCATCGCCGCCTTGACATCCTGCACGGCCGCGGTGCGGGGTGGGTGGGCGGGGCGCAGCTGATGGCAGGCTGGCACGTGCCAGCGCCCAGAACCCATCCTCCCAAGCCGGCACCGCACCGGAGGGAGGCAGCTCCACCATGCACAAGGCCCCAGCACCCCAGGCAGCTCAGCCCAGGCACCCCACACACCCCACCAGCCCTGCATCAGCCCCACCCCGGCCCGGCCACCCACCCGCACGCCCAGCTTGTGCGGCGTGGGCCGCATGAACGTGGGCTGCGCCAGCATGTTGGCGCAGTTGGCGGCGGGGGGGCAGGCGCCAAACAGGCGCTGCAGCAGGCAGACGCGCGGGTACGAGTAGTTGACGTCGTGGGGGCCGTCGCGCATGAAGGCGGCGAAGAAGTTGAAGGGGCGCCCCGAGCCCGGGTCGTACAGCCCAGCCTCCACCGCAAAGTTCAGCAGCCCAGGGGAGGCCAGCACTGAATCCTGATCCTCCAGGTCGACCTCCTGTGGGGGCAGGCGGGAGGAGGGGAGGGGAGGGGAGGGGAGGGAGTGGTGTGGGGACGCGGGGCAGACATGGCGCCGGGCGGAGCAGCGGCAAGGGCGGCGCAGGCAGGACGGGGGAGCGGGGCACATGCGCCGGCACCACCCAGGGCCGCGCGCCTGGAAGCGGCCCTGGTTGGCGGAGACGAAGAAAGAGCGGCGGGGCACGCGCTGCGCCAGCCAGTGGTGCCCCGAGGCCACCTCCAGATACCTGCGGGTGTGAGATGTGGTGCAGGAGGAGGAGGACGGCAGGCAAAGCTAAGCAAGGAACGGAGTGGGAGGCGGGAGTGGGGACGCCGCGGGTGCAGCCAGCCACTGCCTGTGTCTGAAGCGTGCGGCTGGCGCGAGTGCAGGCAACACCCCCAGCCCCGGCGCTCACCAGGCATCCTCTGCGTCCGCGGCCAGCACCCCAAACGCCTCCCCAGCGCCGCGCAGCGTCACCAGGTCTCCCAGCACCCGCACAGCCTGGCGCGCTGATGTGGCCTGATGCGGGCACGTGCGGCAGGCAGGCACGGGGCGGGCGGCGGCTCAGCTGGGGCGGCGGGCGGCGCAAAGGCTGGGGAGCAGCATGCGGCTCTGCACCCGCCACTGCCACCGCCGCCACCAAACACACAGACCAACATCAAGTCGTGACCACCCGCTGCCGCGCTGCTGCGCGCGCTCACGTGCGCAGCTCCGCGCCCGCCTCCGCACCTGAGGCAGCAGTATGGATGGGATGGCGTCCTCGATGATGCCGCTCCCCTCGTTCATCGGGTCCGCCGCCAGCGCCGCCACCGAGCTGTAGATCGACTCTGTGGCCGACACCGCCACCCCCGCGCTGTTCCACCCCGCCGCCTCGCCAGAGGTGTTGCGCCCCGTGGCGGCGTCTGCCAGTGGGCCCGAGGGCAGCGCAAAGTACGCGAGGCCGGGGGCGGGCAGCTCAAGGGAGAGGTTGTTGAGGTTGGCGTGGTAGGGGGCAGGGCCCGGGCGCGGGGGGTGGTACACCAGCCAGCTGGGCGCGATCGCGCCCTCGCCGTCGTCGTTGCGCGCGATCAGGACGCTGCCGTCGGCAGAGGCGCCGGGGCCCACGATGTACGAGGTGCAGGCCGCCGCGGGACGCAGGGCGCCGCTCAGCAGGAGCAACACAAGGGACAGCAGGGCGCGTGCCGCCATGCCTGCAGGGAGCAGACAACTCTTGGTGAGCAGCGGACACTCGCAGCGAGGAGGGCGGTCAAGGGCGGCGGCGGCCGCCGCCGGCCGGGCTGGCAGCGCCCAGGACCATCGCGATGTAGGGCTAGTAACAGACTGTCAATCGTGGTGGCCTCCCAGCCCTCCAGCTAGGGCAGTGGCCGCTGGCGCATGCCAACTCGCTGAACGTGGCTTTCCCCGGCTCACCTGCAGTGTGGACCGTGGATGGACAATCTGGCGACTGACTGCTGCAGGGGCGCCGCCCTTCTTCAAAACCCCAGACGGCCCGAGACGGCCCTGAACTCTGCTTGGATCGCCTACCTTCTCCAGCTAGAGACGATAGTGGGAGTGGAAGGGCAAATCCAGATTTCCAGCTGGCTTTCCAGCCCCATCCCCACCGGCTCGCCTTGCCAGCGAGGCGCCACCGCCAGCAAGCCCCGCCCGCACAATGCAGGTTCACAATTTTACAGGTGGTTCACAATTCAACAAAGTGATCTCTCATACAACACTTAAAAAAATGAATTGGAATATAGGGGTATGTCTCGCAGCGCTAGGGGATCTCAACAGTGTATGTGCCTACAGAGAGCAGTGCGGTCAGCAACCGACTGCTCCAAATGTTGCGATAACGGATCACGTGCATGCAGGATCAATGAGCTGCTGGCCCCTCACGAGGAGCAGCTGCCACGCGAGGCGCAGGAGCAGTCGGGCGAGAAGCCCTGCGGGGTGCAGCACGAGGCAAAGGGCACGGGCCTGCCGCCGCGCGTGGCGCCCCACTTCCACACATCCTTGGCGCCCTGCCCGGCGCCGGCAAACTTGCCGGTGGGGTCCAGCTCCTGCAGAGACCATGCATGCGTGACGAAGCGTATCCAGGTATAAGCCACGGACTGGACCACAGCATGCCCAGCATGCCAGCGGGCCCAGCGGCAGCGGCGCGCTGTTTGGCGGCGGCCTGACCTGCGCGGCGCAGCCGAAGTGGCACCAGGTGGAGGGGTACTCCTTGGCGCCGTCAAAGCACTGGCTCAGCTCGTCCCAGCCTGTGTGCAAGCCGAGGGGGCAGCAAGGCGGCCCTGAAGTCAGTTGAACCGGAGGGGCGCGCTGCAACGCGGCCGGCGCATGCCGGGCCAGCACCTCACCTGCTTTGCCCCAATGCAGCCGCGCCTGGCAGCGCTCCCTGCAGGCAACAAGGCAGGCGGGCGCCATGATTGGGGCACCCCGTCTGAAAAAACGGCACAAGACGGGAAGACAGCCAGCCAGGGCATCACCATGCTCCCATCTCCTGCCCCACCGGCAGCAGCACGGCCGGGCCGCGCTCCCACCTGAACATCCTGATGACGGCCAGGAACTTGTCGTTTGGCACGCCGCTGGACAGGCTGACCCAGTCCTCCATGTTCACCCAGAGGTGAGGGCCCTGGTGGTTGGGGCTCAGGTACATCTCCTCCCCACTGCACAGGCCAGGCCGGGCAGGGCAGGCAGGCAGGCAGGCAATGCATGGGCCCCGCTGGGCGAGGAAGGCAATGGCGGCACAGGTGGCTGCGGGAGCTGGCCCAAGCACGCCGCCAGCCGCGCAGCCCTGGCAAGGCGGCAGGCCGCTTGGCGACCACAGCACACGCAGCAGCGCCACCGGCGCCCGTTCCATGCCTCACTTGTTGAACCGGATCAGCGCTGGGTTGCGGAAGCCCTCCCACAGCCGCCTGCTGCCGTAAATCTCCCGGTTCAGCTGCACAGGCAGGCAGGGCAGGCGGGGAGGAGGCCCCGGATCGAGCTGTGAGGAGCTCGCTCTTCATTGCCTAGGGCTCTTGTTTGAGGGAGACCCGCCACCCACACAAGCACACACACAGCAGCAATGCATGGCGTAGCTGGGCGGTCAGCCGGTGGCAGGCGGCTGTCGCACCTCCAGCAGGCAGTCGCCCGCCACCTCAAACGGCACAGCCACCTCCATTTGGATGTAGGGCGCAAAGGTGCTGGTCAGCCGCGTGCCCTGCTCGGTCATGCTCAGGTAGCACCTGCGGGGCGGGGCGGGCGGGTGGGGGTGGGGGTGGAGCAGCAGTGGCAGCAGCCAGCGGCCTGGGACTCCTCTCTTGCAGCGAAGCGGCGACCTGACCGGCGCAGCGTTGCCAGCCCTGCCACAGGCAGTGACCCCCTGCCGCACTCACTTCCTGCTCTCAAAGGTGCCCGGCAGGACGTACTCCCGGCCCAGCGTGGCGTAGAAGCGGCCCCAGTACGCCACGTTGCCGCTCATGCGCCGGTTGGCCGCCACCGGCCGCTTCCGCTTCTGCTCAAACACCACGCCCTCCTCCGGCCCGCTGAAGGCCTGGCGGGTGGCAAGGGGAGGACACGGGAGGGGCGGCGGCGCATGGGAGAGCGAATGGGCTGGGAGCCAGCTGAGACCAGCCTGGAGAGCCACGTCACGGGCTGCCGCCCCCAACAGGCCGGCAGCGGCTGCCTCACCGCCACCGACGGCTCCTGGCCGCCGGCCCCCACATTCAGCAGCACGCTCAGCGGCTCCTTCTCGCTGTGGGTGAAGTCGGTGCGCCACACGGCGTTGGACTCCACAATCCACAGGCTCTGCAGGGCGCAGGGCGCGCCACGGCGGAGCGCGCTGGCCGGCATGCGCTGGCAGGGGTCCTGCTGGCAATGGCTGCGTGCCTGCCCGCCTCCCTCTGCCCACCGCCTGCCCGCCGCCCTCTACCCACTGCCCGCCTTCCTGCCACCTCATGCGAGCACAGCGCCTGCCTCGCCCCACGCCCACCTGTGTCTCATCCACCTCAAACAGCGCCCGCTTCATGTCGTCCACGCTGCCCGCCTTCCTGGCCGCCACGTACTTGTCCTGTGGAGGACGCAGCAGAGCCCCTCTTCTGCTGCGCAGCGGCCACCGGCAACCATGCGCCGCCAGGGGCCCGCCGGCTCCTGCCCCAGTGCCAGCCAGGGCTCTGCCGCTCCTAGCTTACCTGGCTGCCCTTGATCTGCTGCGCTAACTGCTTGAAGTTGATCTCCTGGAGGGGCCAAGGGCAGGGCAGGGCGGGGCAGGGTAGGGGGGCAGGCTCTAACAGGCAGGGTGTGCAGGCAGCTGGTGGGGAGCGCCTGTGCCATGGCCTGGCGCCGCCGCTCCTGCACCAGCCCAAGCACATAGGCTGCGCCCGCACACCTGCAGCGACTTGGTGACCGCCATCTGGGGCCGGATCCTCATCACCAGCTCCGTCACCACGCCCAGGCGCCCCACGCTGGTGGCCAGCGCGCGGAACAGGTGCGGGTTGGTGGCGGGGGTGACGGCCAGGAAGGTGCCGTTGGCCAGCAGCACGGTGAGGCGCACCACCTGCGGTGGGTGCGGGCAGGCAGGGAGGGGGCACGGGGCGGGGCGGGGTGGCACACAGAGGGATGCCAGGTTCAAAGCGCTGCTGGAGGGGAGCAGGAGAGGATGCGCGCAGCTGTCCCCCACAGTTGTGGGGGAGCCTTGGCGTGTGTGGTGCCCTAGCCCCACCACCCCATGGGAAGCCCACCCCACCACCCCCACCACACACACACACACACACACACACACACACAACCTGCGAGGACAGCGAGCCGTGCTTCATAGTCGAGCCGTGTGTAGCTGTCGCCACCGCGCCTGCATGTGGGCAGAGGGAGGAGGGAGGGCGGTGGCACACGCAAGCAGGCGTGGCGGTGCCTGCACGGCAACCCCCTTGCTGCATCAACAACCACCTCACCGCCGATCGTCTGCTCGGTGTACCAGGTGAAGGACTGCAGGTGCAACAGAGGGACTCAGTGACGGCAGCAAGGTGACTGCTGGCTCTGCCGCTGGCTGCCCGCAGCTGCGCAGCGCCCTGGCCTGCCCGCCGGCAGCGCCCTGCTCTCACCGGCAGCACCCAGCCTGCATGGCAACGGGGCGCAACAAAGCGCATTGTGGGCTGGCTGGCTGCTGGCTTGCATGCCCCGCCAGCGGGGTGATGCAGCCACAGCATACATCTCCCAGCAACCCTACCCAACAGCGGCTCGCAGCGCACACGTGCAGCCGCCCACCTGCGGGCTCCTTCCAGTGCCGGTACTCTGAAAGGTAGTCGAGGAGCAGGCGCTGCGGGATGCCGGCAGCCACGGTCACGGTGCGCGCATCCTCGTCCACCTGCGGGTTGGATGGAAGCACCTCCTGCCCCCACCTCTGGGCACTGGCCCGGTGGGCACCGTGTGGCGGCGCGCAGCAGCTTGGGCTCGCCCTCGCTGCCCACCAGCCACCCCTCCTCCTCTCCTCTCACCCACCTTAATTGGGAAGGAGTCTGGGATGGCGCGGTTGAGCCAGATCACAGGGTCCACAGGCGCCTTGATGCTGCGGGGAGCGGCAGGCGGAGGGAGGGGCGGTTGGGGGTCGGAAAAGGATGGCGGGAGGGGAGCACTCCGCATTGAGAAGGCAGCCGTGGCAGGCAGGCGCCCCGGCGGGGCGGGGGAGGCGTGGGAGGCGGGTGGGCACCCCTACGCCTCAATGCGTGGCTTGCCCCGCTCTCACAGCTCCAGGGTGCTGGCCAGCTCAGTCATGACCACGTTGACTGAGCTGGAGTCTGTGCCCGCGCAGAACTGGGCCGGCCACCAGCTGGCGCCCACGCCGTTGGCCTGCGGGGGGTGCCCGAGGTGGGTGGGGCTGAGGGTGCGGGGGCATGGGAGCCGCCTGTGGGTCACGCGGCGGGGCTGGTCCGCGCGCGGCACGGCGGCACCCTCACCCTGACTTTGGGGTGGGATGCCACCACGGCCTGCAGCTCTTCCAGGGTTCTTGGGCGGGCCACCTTGACGCGTGGGTCGCATGGAAAGTAGCCCTGGAAGTTGGACAGGCTGAAGGGCAGGCCGCACCCCGCATGCGCAGAGTCTGCATCCACTCGGGCACAAGGGAGAGGAGCGGGCTTGGCTAGGCCCGGGTTGGCGAGCGCTTCAAGGCGCGGTTTTCAAGGCAGGCCTACCCGGCACCATGCGGCACGACCAGTCCTGCGCTGCGGCGGCCATGGCCATCGCCGCCACCGCCATCGCCACCAGCGGCAGCCTGGACAGCCGCTCTGCCATTGGGGCGCGATGTCAGCACACGGCGACGAAGCCTGCAGGCCTAGGGCCTGGGGTGCGGGCCAAGCGGCGCCTAATGGGCAGGACCAGGGAGTCCGATGGTCTGGGCGTGCCAAGCCAAGCGACCAGTGCGATGGAATATGCAAAGAGATGATCAAGGAGCACGATAAGGGGACCCCTAGGAGGAGGTTTCGATGCTGACTGTGGCTGAGCTGGCGCACAATGTGGCAGGCGCGTCCGACGGCCTCCCAAAGGGCGCTGGATGGCAACAGTCCACTGACAGCCATTCAATGTTTTCAACTTCTCTACCCTGAACCTGCTCGACACGTCGTGCTTACAAGATTACGGTTGCTGCGGTTGTTCATGACAAAAAGGGGATGGAGGCCGGCAGGCTGGCAAGAGATTTCCAAGTTCAATGTAAGGGAAAGAAGAAGAGAAAGAATGGGTGATGCAGGGACAACAGCCAGCCGTCAACAGCGAGTTGAAAAAAATCAGACGGGGTGGTGGTGCCGAAGCGTGGGTGGGACAGGGATGCATTTGTTTTTATTGACCGAGGTGAGCTGGGCCAAATGAGCCAAATGAAACATGGGCAGCACTAGGTGACGACGGCTTATTCGGTTGAAGCACGCGGGCAGGAAACATGGGCAGATCCGCCTCAATCCTGGTGACAACAGCGGAAAATATGGAGACAATTCGGGCATTGTAGGCATGCTGACCAAAACTTAATGGGAATCGAATGCGCAAGGCCGCACCAGCGGCAAAAAAAGAAAAAAAAGGAAAAAAAGAGCAAGCTCGAAGTGTGGAGAGAGACAACTGCCTCCAACTGTTGAGCAGGGGTGGCGGGGCGATGGGCGACAGATTGCTCTGGCGGGTGAGGGGCCTGCGGCTTGTGTGAAGGTGGTGACTGGGGCAGTGGCAGGCTGCGACCGTGAACAGAATGCAATGCAAGGAATAGGGGGTGGAAGGGGCGGGGGGTTGTGACTAGGCAACCCGCTGGCTGCTGGGTGCGCAGGGCATTGGGCAGGCTTGCAATGAAACAGAGAACAAAAGCGTCGCTGCCGTGGCGTGGCCAGCAGCGTGTGGGGCAGATAGAGGCACAGAGCCTACGACTGCCTGGCCACCTCAGAAGAGCGGGATCCAAAACTCCGGCGCCAGGTCTGCATCCGCCGCCGCGCCTGCGGCGGGGGTGGCGTAGCCGGCGGGGTGCGGCACCAATTGCGGTGCCGCCATGACGGCCGCCAGCTCAGCATCCGCCGCCGCCAGGTAGGCAACGTCTGGGCTGCCTCCACCCAGCAGCTCCAGAGGCAGCGCTGCGTCCCAGCCCTGCATGGAGAAGCAGCCCCCGGAGGGCGACGACTCCAGGCCGGGGTGGGCGGCCAGGCGGGTGGCGGCGGTGGGCGAATGCTGCTGCAGGTCCAGGCTGGCGCCAGCACGGGGCGCGGTGGCGGCCAGCTGGCGCACGGGCAGGTCCAGGCTGGCGCAGGCGCGGCCGTGGCCGGCGGCGGTGAAGGCCGCGGCGGCGGTGTAGCAGCTGCTGCAGGCGGCGCGCTGCGGGCGGCCGCCGTCCAGGCTGCCGCGCACGTGGTAGTGCTGCAGGGAGCGGCGCGGCTGCGGCTGCTGCTGCAGCTGCTGCATAGCGGTGGTGTGCTGGGCGCTGCAGGGGAGCAGGCCGGGCGGGGGACAGCGGTGGGGTGAGGGGAGGGGGCAGTGATCCGCAGGAGCCACGCAGCAGCAAGCTGGGGCAGCACATGGCGCGCCAGCAGACGTTGTGGTGGTGGTGGGCACGACTCACCCAAAGCCGAGGGTGTCCTGGGGGGCGGCGGCGAT